TTGAATTTAAACTGACACCTTTTGATACAATTCAGGCCAGTTGTTGCCTGGACTGTAGTCAGTAGGAAAGTGTGTAGGCGGAGAATACGAATAGGCATTATTGTGAGTTCACTATCTTTACAAGTTTCTATAGAAACATTCGGTAAGAAAATTCGCATGCGGTAATCATCTGATATCCAGATATCTTGCAAAAAACGAATATTATCTATATGGTTTATATAATCCTCATAGTACAATAGCCTTTAACTAAAATGGCACCACACCATTTTCCATTCAGATTGACAAACATTCTACCTTCAATATATCTTTCTAGAAATTCAATTGTTACAATAATAAATTTTTTCTTAAGGATTTCTTTAAAAAGGACCGAATGTATTCGGTTGGAATCATTTTGTAGGTATGCTTTATAATTTACTGTTTCTTATGTATCTATACTTTGTTTAGTGTGCATTAACACACTAAACTCAAGATCAAGGAGGAAGGTGAAAAATGAATCCAACTGCACTGTTGAGACCGGTTTCCAGTCATATCGTCTAAGGTAACCAACCATGGATTACAACTATCATATAATTGTAAACTAGGATGCATAAATTTCCCTTGAACAGTTCAGAATATCATTCGACAACTTGAAATTCAAGTTAAGGTTCAAATAATAACGATTGTTTTGGATATGATAAATTTAGTTCATAACAGTATGTCATTTAATTCATGATAAAGTGTTTATCTTTTTTCGCATTTTCAACAGGATTTTGAGGAGGAAGTAAAAGAATTAAACCGATTACTTGATCAATACAATCTATTAGTCCCTAGTCATCAAATGCAGCGTTTTCATTTGAATAGTAAGACTGCTATTGATCAACTGATGAAAGCTAAACAATCACACACGAATGAGCAAAACAAACGTGATCCTACTACGACTCAAAATGGAAGCAAAGATGGTGTACCACAAACTGAGGATAACAATCAGAGTTTATGGGATCCCCGCTATATGGCTGAAGTAATGCGCGACTTTTACCGTGAATTGGCTAGGTCATGGGCGAGTATTCTACGAGGTTTTAAAGATCATAAATAACACCTTGTATTACTCTAAAATACTGCTGTTTATGTATATTCATATCACAGTTAACAAGTATTCTAAATCAACTTATAGTTCAAATAGGCTAAATTAACAAAGCAATCTCTCGTAAAGTAATGAAAAAACATTCGTATGTTTCACACTTTTTTCTTATCAACTTTAATCTTCATTTCATTAAAGTAAAAAAAAAACCAGCTGAATCTGATCGTGTACAAAAAATCGTTGACGTGAAATCAATCATAAAAGACTAATATCAACTGCATAGCCAATGACGGTAGGCCATGACACATAAAGAACTATCAATTTTTCAATTTTAAGACATGCAAATTTTGTTCAATTCACAGATTTTGAGTTGTTTGACTAAACTGAATTGAGGCGACTAAGAAATGATAGGAATCTCATATTTTGAAATAAAATAAAAATCAACTCTTGAGAAAGGAGACGTGTAACTATGAGGTCAAATTAAACTTAAAAGCAAACACTAATGGTGGTAGTAAAGTACAAGTTGTTCAACAGTAAACACGTTCGCCATGGGATTTTAGGTGCAGTATTTGAGGCTGTCAAGAATGATCAGCTATTGAAAGTATCATATCAAAAAGCAATATCAATCCTGAGCTTCATTGTATTTAAATATTTTCCTCTTCAAAGAATCAGTGTCTCATCTTGTCACTCATAATACGAAAGTTTTCTATCACAATCATTTCCCATTTCTCATAATAATAATAATAATAATAATAATAATAATAATAATAATAATAACAATAATAATATATTTCTACATGAGCAGGTACACGCCATTTTTACAGGCATGGTCTACAAATTACAAAATTTGTTGGCTCACAGCATGCTTACCGACTTATTAAGTTTATAGTTGTCATAAAGTAGACTCGTAGAGCGCTTGCTGTAAACCATGACCTTGAAGAGACGCGAACGTCAAGTTTGTGTCTAGACGTCAGAAGTTCCATAGCTGTTCCCCCAGAGCAAGATTATGAAGAAAAATTGAAAGAGAAACAGAGGAGCAACAAGGCACTTGGATATGAACGCACAACGTTGCCCAACATTTTGTAGTAAAACATAGAGAGGTATAATAAATTAGATTAAATTCATATTATCTCTTGTTAGAGCGAAATGAAGTCAGAGGCTCCATATTAGAGAATGTAGTAGTAAAGAACAGTGAGTTGTATCGTTTAACAAGTTGGAGTAAGCTCACATAAAGGAAGGGAGGTCAAGGTTGATACAAGGAAATTTGTTTATTAGAGGGGAGTGTGCATATAGAGGGTGAACTGTTGAGAATACTAATAACTATATCTTTTATTGTCTAATTTTTTTTTGTCCGTCCGATGCCAGCCGCACAATCCTAATGTAAAAGTCCGAGTTAGCATGTTATAGATTGTCTTAGTAGAATGGCTTATCCAGCATAAAATTGGAAACACGAGTCTGAGTGGTGAGCGTAAGAACACAATTTATATCACAGATTGATCGACTTATCCTCAATCATAAAGAGCCTGATACAAACAAAGTGTTCTGCCCCACAAACATGGGTGGATTGAAGTCATCGCCCTCACCATCAATGCTTGCTGTTCAGTAACTCCACCCTCCCTCCTTTTGTGATGTTAGGATCATTCAAGCTTATTTTTGGATATAAGTCATGCCTCACATAATCCTCTGTATTTTATGATGGAACAGACACCTAAGCTGTTAAAGACTAAGACTCTTTTGCGTCCCACATTTCAAAGCATGCCAGACAATTTTGAAGCCTGCTGCTACTTCTCAGAACCTACTGCAGACGTCTACTACTCATTGTTTATCTTAAACCAGCTATCTGACCTAATGATTGTAACTCATTCTTTACCAGAGTCATTCAACAACTTTAACAGGGCTCCACTGTGAATGTACATCGGTGACTAGAGTATTATGTACTTACGACTGCTACAATTTGTGGAGCATAGACAATCAACCAGGATCCTCCAACCAACTCTGGACTGCGCCCTCCACTCCAACTGTTTCTGATCACTATCCATTCTTTTGATGTCTGCCTCCTCTTCCCGGTGCAATGTGTTCTTAGGTCTTCCTCTTTCCCTTTTCCTTTCAGAATTCCAAATTAGTGCTTGTCGCGTGATGTAGTTCGATGATTTCCTCAAAGTATGTCCTACTCACCTTCAGCATCTCTTCTTAATTTCCTCTCGAGCTGAAAGCTGGCTTATTCTCTGACATAGTAGGTTGTTCCTGATGGTATCTGTCCAGAGGATATAAAGGATATTGTGGAAACAGCTGTTTATAGATACGTGTATCATTATAGTGATGATTGTAGTTCTACAAGTTTCAGCTCCGTACAATAGGACTCTTTTGATGTCTTCACTGAAAATTCTGACTTTGGTGTTAGCTGACGGTTCTCTTGAGTTCCAGATGTTCGTCAGTTGTAGGAATGCTGTCCTTGCTTTTCCGATCCGTGCCTTCACATCTGCATCAGTTCCTCCTTGTTTATCAATGATGCTTCCCAAATCGGTAAAACTTTCCACATCTTCCAGAGCCTCTCCATTAAGTGTGATTGGGTTGGTGCTCGCTGTATTGTATTTCAGGATTTTGCTTTTCCCTTGTGTATGTTGAGGCCTACTGATGCAGGAGCTGCTGCTACACTGACCGTCTTCCTCTTCGTTTGTTCTTGTGTATGGAATGGAAGAGCTAGGCGATCTGCGAAATCCGAATCGTCTGGTTACATCCAAGCTGTTCATTGTATTCCATGCTCCCCGTGAGATGTAGAGGTCTTCATAATCCAGTCGACAACCAGAAGGGAAACATCGTGAGTAGGCAACCTTGTCCACCAGTCTTCACCTACAATGCATGCTTGTAGCATTTAAATGATTGAGTGTTGATCAGTTAACTCAGCAGTTAACGTTTCCAAGAAGTGTTATCTGTGTAACTCTATCTATTAATTAGTGATATCCTAACAAAATACAAACCGGTACAACAATCCTCCTTTATATTGCAAGTTGATTCACTGTTTACATATTCATGTCATTCTCAATATTTCCAAACTTTGCCTAGCGTGAAAGCTGTAGGGACGTCATGAGTAAAATAGATTCAAGCCACAGAAACCAATGTTTAGAGATGACATTTACTAAGTTGTCTCTACTATGACGACATGATTTAACCTATGAACTACTTATATTATGTTTCTAATAAATGCGAACAATCTTTTATGAACACTGACAATCGCAACCTGCCGCAACTCGGATAGACATTTCGCTAGCGTATAGTCATATTGTTTGCACCGCAGTGTTATATATCAAACGTTTTACAGCCAAACTAGTTTCGTTACAGAGTCAAAAGTATTCCATATTTATGTCACGTCTACAGACGCTAATCGCTAACTGACTAAGTATGTTTTAAGCAGACTACATCACTACATGGTAAGACTATATCGCCTGTACACTCAACGTTGAAAAGCCTTTCTCTGAGCAAAAGATATTTACCACTACGCAAAGATATGGAGTAGTAGTGATTTAGAACAAACTTACCTAACTGTATTGTTCATTTTTAGTGGGGAAGTGTGGCTGTATCATCTCACTTTACCTGAATTATTTATGTGTCCAGTTTTCAATATGTTGACGGAGGAAACAAATCCCCATTATGTACATTCATGTCACATAAAGTGAAATGAGTTAACTGCTAGGTAAAAATACCAGTCACTTTAACTATACAAAGAACGAGAGATTAACCCATCACATAATTTACATAGCAATACGAACGTTTACCTTACGTCATGTGCGAAGTATGCATGACAATGTTTAGGATAAATTATAGTCTGATTACTTATCGAATAAATTATGCAGCAGATAGGAATGGAACCGGTAAGTAGAAGTGAACATAGTCACTCTTTGTATGCATAAGATCACTTAACTTCAGAAAGAATAAAGAGATCATTGCACAAGACAACATATCTATATTTCGCAAAATATTTACAAAATTAAACAGAAATTCAATAAGGATTGAATTGCCATCATCGAGCTTCGAAAACACTCACTAAAATAAAAGAAAGTTTAGGTCGATTAAACGATAAGAATACAAAAATGTCAGATTGTCTGAAGTTAATGTTTATTTAAACCAAAAAACTCATTTTAAGCATACTGCAAGTCAAAGTTTTAGGAGTTGAAGGTATTATATGAAGGAACAGAAATACTCAGTTGTTTTGATGAGCGTATTTGTATCGGAAGAAGGACACTTATAAATTGTTTGCCATATGAACTATCTTTGGATGCGTTTATACCATCTACAAATTCTTATGCATCATCACACTGAGAGTGAATAATTTTCATGTAAACTGCCAAAATCACAGTATAAAGGAGGAGAACTTATAAATTACATAGAGGTTTGTAAGAGGTAAAATTACCACTAAGTATAATCGAACTCCAAAGTTAAATGATAGTGAATGTTTCTTAATACTTGCATGACTAACCCAACTTTCGAAACTTATAAATCTCGTCAGAGAATGATTGTGAACAGTGGTGGGTAGCGAAAGCAGGAGAGATGGAAAAGGCAGAGGCAATAGGTAACAGCAGACAACTGTTCAGACTTATTAAAGAAACCGGTATTAGCAACCCGACTGTTGGCGAAACTATCTCAGAAAAAGATGGACATATTATTCATTCTCAATCCAGGAGATTGGATCGATGGGCAGAACACTTGAGGGATCAGTTCAACTGGCCTTCAGCCACACTTCGGTTCCCCACGATCTCCAGTCAACCTGAATGGCAAGTTAATGTAGGTCCTCCGACCTTTTACGAGGTTGAAAAATCTATAGGAAATCTGAAGCGAGGGAGAGCAACAGACCCTGACAGGTTTACTCCTGAGATTTCTAAGGATGGTGGTCCAGTATTAGCAGTGAGATTAACTGAGGTCTTAGGTAGAATTTGTGAACTGGACGTAATCTCATCTGACTGCTCTCAATCACTGATTGTGCCAGTCTATAAGAAAGGACAAAAGTCCTCTTGTGACAATCACAGAGGAATCAGTTTGACTAATATAGTGTCTAAAATATTGGCTTCAATAATACTTCGACGCCTAACCAAAGATCGTGAAGAACAGACTAGAGAAAATCAGGCTGGTTTTCGACCTGGACGTGGTTGTATAGACCACATTTATTTATTTATTTGAACACATAAATATTGGTACAAGAGAGCGCCAATATATATGCGCTACACAAAACAATGAGAATGCGAAGAGAAATAGAAAAAAACTAGGGAGCGCAGAAGAAAAAGAGAACAATAACGAAGAGATTGGTGTAAGGTAGTGTGGTAGTAACGAGGTACAATCAGAAGAAATCTTTCAGTCACCACTTAACAAAATGACCAAGATATGTCAATCCCTCAAAATATCTGACTCGTTGTCTTTAATTCATTTGATCAACATAATTTTTAACCCTATATTGTTACGAATTATAACAACGTTAATTTCTTGAGTTTTCTGGTAAGCAATCCTGTGCATAGTCCCCGTTACTTAACATGAATATGAAGTTCAAATTCAAAAATACATTTCAAGAAATTGTAAATAAACTATTAACGTAGAAGGGGGCTCTAAACTACTGAAATCTGTGTGACAAGTAGATGCACAAATTAAAAGCATTACATAAAAGTTTATTAGCTTATGTTGTCACAATTTACAACAGCACACAATGGGAAAACAAACAAAAACATGAAGTCATTAAAATCAAAAATTCACATAAGTTGACAATGGGAATTAATTCATAGGTTATAAAATTTAAAGGATTAAGAGTGAATAGACCTCTACCATTCTAATCTACTGTGAGTTATTATAGCACTTAGGGTCTCTAACCAATGATTTTCATCATATAGAGAACGTTTCAAAAATCTGGGTCTATGCGTTCAAATCAACCGTTAGTAAGTTTACGAGGTGATATTACGTTGCTGTTGGAGGTGCAGATCCAGAACATTGTTAACTGATTCGCTCCCAAATGCCCTGGTACGGCCGAGAGTGGGGAGAGTCCGCTCTCCCTCTCGAAATGCTCTCACACGGCCGCGCGTATATAGCCTCTGCCAGGGAAGTCCTACTCACTGCCTTCTCGTGGCGGGGGTGTTGTTTACGAAAATGAGAGGACGAAAAGCGAATGTCCGGCGCTTTAACCAGATTCCAAACCAATGGTGCACATGAGCTCCAGTATCCTGAGGGAACAAATGGCGTGTGAACCAATTGTTGGTCACCGGCTTCCATGGGACTGCATCTCCTCACGATGTTCCACTGCCTTGTGGATCAGACCTTCAGGTCGAAGGCTCGGGGTGTGGCCCCCTAAGAAAACCACCTGCTTCGGTTTGGACACCCGGGCAGTATCACAGCCCTCACACATATCGAATGAGATTTGTGTGGCCCATATGTATTTGGTGCCTCTTTGTACCATTATCTATGTGTTGAAATAAAATAAAATTTTTTTTATCTAAAACACCGTGCCTAGCTTCAACACTGCTGACTCAGTTATCCTGAGTTCAAGAGCTAAGACAAGATAAGTAATGAGTGCATTTGAGCTATTGGGACCGATATGGAGTCATGTAATTTTCCTTCAAAATACAGATAATGATTACTTCACAAATCCTAACCGGCAGGTTTATTGTGTAGTGCAACTTACCAAACACGTTTATCAGCTTGTTTTGAATCGCTCTGTTTTGTGTGTGCGCCGGTAATACTACCGTCTAACCTATGGCTCGATGGTTGAAAGTCGAAAACTGTAAACACTAATTAATCGCTCATTACATGATTTAGACAAATAGTCGATGGTCTCATAGTGTGATTATACATGGCCTGACCACTTTTCACACTTTACCAATATAAAAACAATATGCTAACATGAAACTGTTATGAAATTTTGTCAGACGTAAAATAATAATATTTGGGACTATTGAGAATTGTTTCATACAAAAAGTTGGTAGAGAAAGGGCTTCTACTTCTCTTACTTCGTTTTGACCGTTTCTTGTATAAAACTCTGTGTCCACACTCAAGACAGCGAACAAGTTCTCTGGGTCGAATTTCATTTTCAGCCCGACATTCTATAATTAATTGGACCAACACATACAAGCCATCATCAAAGACAATACAAAAATTTGGCATGGATATAAAAAAAACAATTTATAATTGTTAAAATAGAGCAAACACTTTAGTGAAACTATTTTTCATGACCAGGTTCTTAAAAACTATAAACTCATATCTATATGGAATATTGTGGTGAACAAGTTTTAGACATTGGTATGCCTGTGTGTAATGAGTTCATGGGATACAATTCATATTAATAGATAAAATAGATTAACAAATGAATCGTCAAATTGATTCGAAAATAAAGAACACCAAACTCAAAGCCAAAGACATAACTAAAATATGAGAAACTGTGACATGATTCTTGAAGTAGGTAAATGAAAATTAGTTGAATTATTAATTTCACTTATTATATCATTATGGTGTTATGTGTGAATGCAATAAACTGATAACAAAATCAACAAAGCAAAACGTGGAAGAAAATACAGGAATATAAAAAAACCAGGGCCATAACAGAGAAAATATTTTTTGCAAACTGTTTCTGTGTACATATCTTGCTTTAGTCTGAGTATCCTCAGTATTTTTGTAACAAAAAAGTGTTTACACCTTTCAGTAGATTTGGTTTAATTTTATAAATGATTTTGAATGATAGGTCGAATAATTCGTGTTTGTCGTCGACCAAATGTTCCAGAATAAATTGTGTACTTCCACATTGTTTCTCAATGAGCTACACTGGTAAGTGCTCTTTTACACGTAAGAAAAGGGTCCTTATATACTTTTTCAAAGTTCCATTGTTCACAAAGGAATATATTTGCATAGGATGAAGTCCAACTGACGAAATTCAGTGAACAAAAGGATAATATCCCAAGTGTTGTTGCTTATCTTCAAAGTGAATCCTTTGTAACAGCTTTGCGTCGTATATTGCTAGATGTATCTGAGAAATTTTAATCACTGTACATTTTTATTGACTGCCAAATTATAAACGATAGAGAATACTCTGATTCATCAATGCTAGTTGTTGGTATCAAAACGTCAGCCATGGAAGTAGTGTTGCTCCCAAAGTTTAAATTTACCCATCCTCTGCTATAGGTGTTTATTTGCAACCGATTGGCGGCTTAGAGAGTAACTTTGAGGTTCAAATTTTGTTTATCAAATGCGGTGAATGGTATCATCCTAGTTTCCCCGTGTTAATCAGAAACTACATACCGGTTATCCTATCGGTAACATGCAGAAGACGACTATCTTCAAGGTTTTGATCGGCGACCAGAGTCAGTAATCATTGGCTGTTGTGTTTTTCTGGCTCTTAATGCCAAACAGAGAGTGACGTGTAGTGTCTAACACTAGTTCTAGTTTTGCATCCTAATCTTCTCTTAAAATTTGAACGCGATGTTCTGTTTAGTCGTACTTGTGCCACATATTTTACTAATGTATTAACCATTTCCTTCAACTCTTTAAGTTGGTCGTTTGATGTGACAGTATTGGAACTACTGTTGGCGTTTTCAAACATTCGTAAATCCTGTCAGTGATTACTGGGAGACTGTCCAGATTGACTTCTTGTTCACTAAACATTGAAATCTGCTGAATGTTTCGTAGACTCCTTAGCCATAATTGATAGAGCGAAGGCAGGTCAACCTGTCGATTGCTTAAAATGTTTAGCATGTGCCACTTTAGCTGAGACGGTGTGCTATTTCCTAGTTGTACATTAGGCAATTGTTGCTTAAGCGTTAGGTAGCCAGAGAGACCAGTTGCTGTAACAACTTCTGGTTTTAGGACACGATATGGTGAGTTTGATTTTAATACAACGCTGACTTGCTCGATATCTCATACGGTAGTATAGAGTATTAATAATTCTATGCGCGGAAAAAATTAAACAAGCCCAACAAACCATAAAGCGGAGTTGTATGCTTTAAAAGCCGTTACGGGCAGAGGACCGGTTTTGGGAAGTATAAGAAGAGATTCTTGGGACAATGAGAAAAGGAATATAGGATACAATAGTGAACATAAAAGGAATAAGTAAAACGCTAATAAGCGGTAAGAATGTTCGCCGAATTGTGCTTCTAAATGTGAGTTTATGAATAGTAATGTGATATGGCAGTTCTACATGTTGTGAGATTGACAATGGACAAACAGACGAACACGTAAAAACACCTAGAGTCATAAATAACCGTAAATTATATACCAATAACCGACTATTGTATATGAATAACTATGGATTATGTCTATACATCGCGTTATAACAAACAATCTACTCACAATTAATTCCATAACCAAAAGACTCAAACAACTAATAAAATCAATTAAAATAATAGAAAGTTCTGAAGAATTCAGTGATTATAAAAACGACTAACGAGGTCCAACAATCGTAGTGAGTGGGCTTGAAAACCGGTATCATTTAGCTGAATCTGAAGGATTTATGGTCACTTTGCTAGTTACAGTTAATGTATAATCCACTAGAAACATTACCGGCTCAAGTTGGCAAAACATGCCAGGCCAGTCCAACAAGGAGGAAATGAATAGGGTGAAGATCAAAACGGTAAATGATAAATAAGGATTGAAACATAGAGATGAAAAACAACGGTTATAGTGGAGTGAATGAATTTAGAGGGCATAAAGTCAGAAAAGATTGGTAAGTTATGGTATTAGGAAATAAACCGAACAGTAGGCAATCAACTTTGAGATCATCCGACTCCTTAAATAATAAATGACTACCTTACAGACTCTAATTAGTAAGCCGCATCTATAAAGATAGCCTACATCGATAACCAGGAGAACCTGGATGTGCTAACAAATAAATCGACAAAGCCAAACGCCTGAAATTAAGGTACAAGGGTTGCGGCAAACTTTGTTGAAGAATTACGGGACCTAAATATTGGAAGAAACAGTCGACACTGAAATTTTCCATACTGAGACGAAGTCTAATGTGCGGCATTTACACTGAACGTTGGAGGGATTACTTGCCACGCAACTATATATTAACTTGTTTATATCCCTAATTACACCTGTGGTTCATGTTTCTTAGTCGTTTGTGAGGAAACTTAATCTATGAATTGACTAGATTCTTCGCCACACCTAAGTATACCATGTTCATCGGATCTAATGGAAAAGTTGAGATCATATTAATCGGAAGCACTTCTAAAATGGAATGGCCTTGACGGCGAATAGGTTGAGTCTGCTGACGAAAGCCGTCATCAGTTTGCAACGTATATTCATCATTTGGAAACGTCATCTTTCCGTCAAGCCGTCGACCAAATACAGTACACCTGCCTTTCCATTGTGATTAACTGTGTATCTAACATCAGAATGAACAGGTGCGTATCATATTACAGCAGCCAACTTAATAACTATGTATTTATTGAGCTTCACACTAAGCATACCTATATCTGTCATTTCTTTTAATTCAGAAATGGCGTCCGCAGATATTTCGTTAAATTCTATCGGCTTAGTATTCCCTCCATAAATACCTATCATGAACATATCGCTGAACCTTCGGGCAACGGTGCGTCCTAGTACAGGCCATAAGTGTTGACTAGAGCTCCTTGAAATAGAAGGTCCATCTACATTAATATACAAATCCAAAGTATCAAAATCACAAGTACACAACCAAAGTTCAACATATCTTAAATTTTAGAATTCACGAGATTACTTTGCTTCTCAATAGTCCAACAGGCGTTACAGAAAGCCATTACCAGTGGAATATTCTTCACGTTCAACTTCGTTTCCAATAAACGTTTTTTTAAACATGCGCTTATCTCCTAACTTGCACGGGAAACTCTGAATGAGTGTTGAGAAAACCTGTTTGCTTTTAAATGCACTTATAATTAAGTGCACGTGCCTAATTAGTAACACATAACCTGTCCTTTCTTTTCAAATTACAACAAAACTCGGTAATTACAATTAAAATACGTAACGATCAATGCTCTAGCATCTGTCAGCTACTCATTATGTTGTACAATATGACGCTTTTTACTTTCCAATAGATTTCTTTAAACATGTACCATCTTTAACGTCGATTGCAGTTGTCGTGTGGTTTGTTGTGGAAATAAATGCGAACACAGGAGACGTTTGGGGTTAGGCCAAAGGTGTGTTAAAAATTGAAGAGAAACTAGATGAATCGGCGTATATTTAGGTGAAAAGTAGACAATTCATCAACATTTAAATTCACTTTATTTCCCACCTGACAGGCGAAAAATCAGACATTTAGGTGAGTTTCCCAATTATTTTTTCCTTATTTTTCAATGTATTTTTCCCGTTTATCGGTTGTTTGCGACCAGATCGTATCTAACTACCGGCTTGTCAGTCCAACTAGCTTTGTCGTTAAGTTGCTTGAAAAGATAATTCGGGTTAGGTTGCTAAACCACATAGATTGACACAATCTGTTAGCTCCTGAGCAACATGGATTTCGTAACAAGCGTTCATGCTTGACTAACTTACTTATTGCGAGAGAGGATTGGACAGCAGCCTTAGATAAAAGCCTGTCTGTTGATGTGATATTCATAGATTTTAGCAAAGCATTTGACACGGTCTCACACTTAGGTCTTATGCAGAAGCTCACGAGCTTCGGAATAATGGGTACTGTACAGGAGTGGATAGGTAACTTCTTATGGGACGCTATCCGATTGGAAGCCGGTCAAAAGTGGTGTACCCCAAGGCACCATTTTAGGCCCTCTGCTCTTCCTTCTCTACGTTAATGAGTTACCGTTGTTTCTTAGGTCGTCGACATTATTGTTTGGGGATGACGTAAAAATCTGGAGAACAATAAAAAATGAGGCTGATCATCTGGATCCTCAAGCTGACTTAGACGATTTAGTTAGATGGGCTCGAGGTTGGGGCTTAGAAATCAATCCTAGGAAGTGTGCTAATGCACATCGGTCACGGTAATAGTTACCATTATACTATTGATGGTAAACCTCTTCCATGCGTTCAAGAGCATAAAGGCTTAGGAGTAATAAGTCATGACTTAAAAACAACTACACATTGCAGCGCAGCCGCTATCAAAGGTTTTCGTGCGTTATGTTCACTTCGCCGAGCGTTCAAATCTTTCGACGAGGAAATGTTTCGAATTTTATATCCCACCTACGTAAGACCACATTCAAAGTACTGTATCCAAGCAGCTAGCCCATGTCTGGCAAAGGATACTAACTCACTTTAGCGTTTCCAGCGTGTGGGAACGAAATTAGTGAAGGGTCTTTCTAAACTCCCTTACGATGAGCGTTTAAAACGCCTAAACCTTTTCCCCTTTTCGTATCGTAGGACGCGGTGACCTTATACTGGCATTTCGTATCTTTAATTATGGTTTGGGTGTTAATATGTCTTATCTTTTGCTCCCTCCAGCACTAATAATCTCCGAGGTCATAGCAAGAAGGTTTATAAACCGCGATCTAATCTAATGCCCAAATGCCCTGGTACGGCCGAGAGTGGGGAGAGTCCGCTCTCCCTCTCGAAATGCTCTCACACGGCCGCGCGTATATAGCCTCTGCCAGGGAAGTCCTACTCACTGCCTTCTCGTGGCGGGGGTGTTGTTTACGAAAATGAGAGGACGAAAAGCGAATGTCCGGCGCTTTAACCAGATTCTAAACCAATGGTGCACATGAGCTCCAGTATCCTGAGGGAACAAATGGCGTGTGAACCAATTGTTGGTCACCGGCTTCCATGGGACTGCATCTCCTCACGATGTTCCACTGCCTTGTGGATCAGACCTTCAGGTCGAAGGCTCGGGGTGTGGCCCCCTAAGAAAACCACCTGCTTCGGTTTGGACACCCGGGCAGTATCACAGCCTTCACACATATCTAATTAGATTTGTGTGGCGCATATGTATTTGGTGCCTCCTTGTACGAATGTCTATGTGTTAAAATAAATAAACAACTTAAAGTGGGGTCTCGTTTTTCTCACCGAGTAGTCAACGATTGGAACGCCTTGCCCGAACAAGTGGTATCGGCCCCATCAGTGAATATTTTCAAGGAGAAACTGGACCTTCAATGGAAGGCTATCTGTCAGGATTAACACAGGTTCACCAACCTACTATCCTTATTACTGATAACTGAACTAGCTTTCCAGTCAAGATTTTGAAGGCAAGTGTCTGTCCCTGTTCAAAACCCTCCCTTACCAGAAAATATGCTGTCAACTTGTTTCTGACAATAAGTTAGACATACAGACCAACAAACAGAGAAATGACAAGTCACTACCCAAGATGTGACTCACCTCCGCATATATACGAAACAGTTTTTGACAAGTGAGTTACAGAATTTGCCGCTGGTGTGGCACCACTCCCACTTCTACTCTCCATTTATGATTCTACGAGCTATTACCGTAGAGAGCTCCGGGTCAGTAGAACACCACAGTGAGGCGCGACAGTTGTATCTCGCGCCGGATGTGCCGAAGGACAGAAAGTCAAGGTTTGAGCCATGAAATGCTTTAGTGTTAAAAAACGGGATTAAGACCTCTTTGATTTTCGTTGTAATATGTCTGGCCGTTCAGGTACAACAGCCTTGCAGAATAATATGTTTAGTTTCGGAGTTGCTTTCGGAAATTGAGCTCCTGGGAATAGCATTTGTGATATGACGTGTCGAAAATTTAATTAATATTTATAAAAGTATATATATTACATAACATCAGTCGCGGCATTCTTTCACAGTAATCTAGGAAAGTCGGGGATAAAACATCAAAAGAAATTAAGGAAAAATACATCGAATGAGAAGATAGGGTTGTGTATGTAGCGCCAAATAAATCCCCAAAATAAATACTGCAGTCAGCATACGACATTGATTCTAACTCCACCGAATTTACTGGACATCCTATCTGGGGGCGCTTGGTCACACATTCATACCAGATCGCGAGTAGGTACTCCGTTCTGCGCATCCCTTGCAACTGCTAATCAGCTTAGATCAAACGCTTCTCGTAATAATGATAACTTTCCGAATATAACCTTGAGCCCCTTCTTTTCTGACCTTTCATTTGACTGGGTTGGTATGCTTTGACTATTATGGTGTCACATGTAAAGACGTTGTCAAACTCCGAATGCCTGTGGCATCTTTAGAGGTGAAATCGACGTGATCTGCTACCACAGTGAAGTGTGAGCCTATTCCTTGTTGGGATATTTTTTATTTTCACATATTGTGATATCGTTTTCATATTTTTCCGATATTTCTCCTCATAAACTGGTATATATTGTATTCATAATAATAATAATAATAATAATAATAACAATAATAATATATTTCTACATGAGCAGGTACACGCCATTTTTACAGGCATGGTCTACAAATTACAAAATTTGTTGGCTCACAGCATGCTTACCGACTTATTAAGTTTATAGTTGTCATAAAGTAGACTCGTAGAGCGCTTGCTGTAAACCATGACCTTGAAGAGACGCGAACGTCAAGTTTGTGTCTAGACGTCAGAAGTTCCATAGCTGTTCCCCCAGAGCAAGATTATGAAGAAAAATTGAAAGAGAAACAGAGGAGCAACAAGGCACTTGGATATGAACGCACAACGTTGCCCAACATTTTGTAGTAAAACATAGAGAGGTATAATAAATTAGATTAAATTCATATTATCTCTTGTTAGAGCGAAATGAAGTCAGAGGCTCCATATTAGAGAATGTAGTAGTAAAGAACAGTGAGTTGTATCTTTTAACAAGTTGGAGTAAGCTCACATAAAGGAAGGGAGGTCAAGGTTGATACAAGGAAATTTGTTTATTAGAGGGGAGTGTGCATATAGAGGGTGAACTGTTGAGAATACTAATAACTATATCTTTTACTGTCTAATTTTTTTTTGTCCGTCCGATGCCAGCCGCACAATCCTAATGTAAAAGTCCGAGTTAGCATGTTATAGATTGTCTTAGTAGAATGGCTTATCCAGCATAAAATTGGAAACACGAGTCTGAGTGGTGAGCGTAAGAACACAATTTATATCACAGATTGATCGACTTATCCTCAATCATAAAGAGCCTGATACAAACAAAGTGTTCTGCCCCACAAACATGGGTGGATTGAAGTCATCGCCCTCACCATCAATGCTTGCTGTTCAGTAACTCCACCCTCCCTCCTTTTGTGATGTTAGGATCATTCAAGCTTATTTTTGGATATAAGTCATGCCTCACATAATCCTCTGTATTTTATGATGGAACAGACACCTAAGCTGTTAAAGACTAAGACTCTTTTGCGTCCCACATTTCAAAGCATGCCAGACAATTTTGAAGCCTGCTGCTACTTCTCAGAACCTACTGCAGACGTCTACTACTCATTGTTTATCTTAAACCAGCTATCTGACCTAATGATTGTAACTCATTCTTTACCAGAGTCATTCAACAACTTTAACAGGGCTCCACTGTGAATGTACATCGGTGACTAGAGTATTATGTACTTACGACTGCTACAATTTGTGGAGCATAGACAATCAACCAGGATCCTCCAACCAACTCTGGACTGCGCCCTCCACTCCAACTGTTTCTGATCACTATCCATTCTTTTGATGTCTGCCTCCTCTTCCCGGTGCAATGTGTTCTTAGGTCTTCCTCTTTCCCTTTTCCTTTCAGAATTCCAAATTAGTGCTTGTCGCGTGATGTAGTTCGATGATTTCCTCAAAGTATGTCCTACTCACCTTCAGCATCTCTTCTTAATTTCCTCTCGAGCTGAAAGCTGGCTTATTCTCTGACATAGTAGGTTGTTCCTGATGGTATCTGTCCAGAGGATATAAAGGATATTGTGGAAACAGCTGTTTATAGATACGTGTATCATTATAGTGATGATTGTAGTTCTACAAGTTTCAGCTCCGTACAATAGGACTCTTTTGATGTCTTCACTGAAAATTCTGACTTTGGTGTTAGCTGACGGTTCTCTTGAGTTCCAGATGTTCGTCAGTTGTAGGAATGCTGTCCTTGCTTTTCCGATCCGTGCCTTCACATCTGCATCAGTTCCTCCTTGTTTATCAATGATGCTTCCCAAATCGGTAAAACTTTCCACATCTTCCAGAGCCTCTCCATTAAGTGTGATTGGGTTGGTGCTCGCTGTATTGTATTTCAGGATTTTGCTTTTCCCTTGTGTATGTTGAGGCCTACTGATGCAGGAGCTGCTGCTACACTGACCGTCTTCCTCTTCGTTTGTTCTTGTGTATGGAATGGAAGAGCTAGGCGATCTGCGAAATCCGAATCGTCTGGTTACATCCAAGCTGTTCATTGTATTCCATGCTCCCCGTGAGATGTGGAGGTCTTCATAATCCAGTCGACAACCAGAAGGGAAACATCGTGAGTAGGCAACCTTGTCTGACTTCAATTTTCGCTTGGAATGCATCTGTATTTCGGACGCACTTTACCTCTTAAAGATAAATTCACAAGGTGATTTATAGGTTTCCAAATACCTATCTTAGACTTATTTTTTTAACATTTTATTGACACGTCTTTATGTCCTGATTATGCTTTATGAAATTTAGCTGTTCAATTGACAGCTGCTATCTCACGTAATGACCCAATACATTATCTCTAGAATTCCTTGTGTACCTACGGTAACTTATTTTAGCATTAGTCCGGCTAATAATTAACATTGTCTATTTACTTATTTGTTACGTTTTGTTAAACGAGCTCTCCACTCATTAAGCTTCCATATTGGTTAGTAATTCCTGTATGGGAAATATCATTTTGTTTCGCACCGTGTAAAGGGTGTAAGTCTGTTTTCCCCGCGTCTAACAAATGTGTACTTGACAGCGTAAAACCTTTTTCTTCTGAACTCTACTCTTCTTATCCACAAATATCACTATCACTATGATTTTCCGTGAAACAATCCCTTTATCTCTTTATTCGGTATGCCAGTGGTAAAACTGGTTGATATTAAACCTGTTATATAATCATACAGTGAAATGTCAATTCAGTGTACCCATCACTATTATCAACTAATGAGAAAACCCAAAATTCAACAAACCAAGGCGTCTAATACTCTTCCTGATATGCACCAAAGTACTGATTTTTAATGTCGACATTTAAGGCAGTTACAAGCTTTACTACTGAAGTTAACAATAAACATGACCAGTTAGCACGCCTCACTTATGTGTAAGCCCTACGTAATAATAAAAACCTCGAGAAACTCACTAAAGCAGAATAAATCTCAAGATTTTCAGCTGAAGAGGTAACGAAAAAGGTAATGCCTTCCTATAATGCTATTGCCTACAATCTCCTTTATTGCACACTGCCCACTAACCTGAGGGATGTTTGCCTCGGAGAATGTGGTATGTTGAACGTCAAGTGACACGTCACCTGCCTTAGAAAAGATTGTCAGATAAATCTGCACGCCTAATCCTGTTCAAATTTAGCTGTTGTAAAGATGCTAGATAATTTATTAATTCGAGGGAAAATATAAGCACATTGATTCCATTTAAGAACAAAAAAGTAACTCTGAACCTAAGACCTTGCTAACTTCGTACAAAAAAACGTGGAGAGACAAGATCAAAAGATCGTGGTATTGCAAATAACCAACCATAGGCAACTTAAGAATCTGTAAAGAATACCAAACACATTTATCATGAGCGTATTTGGGATACACAAATGGTAGACCACTCTGTAGATGTAGATGAGTCTCCCGCCCAGAAATGCAGGTTGTTTACGCAGCAAATTACTTGAATATTAGTCATGTGATGACACGATCAACTAGACTTTACCAAGTAAAAGACTACTCCTTCAATAGGCATAACACAAGGTAACGTGAATAAACGTGAATTCATCACACAGAACACTTCTAAGACACCAAGAAACTATCCAGCTCTGTGAATGAGGAATCAACAGACGAAATATATGATATAAAATAAGAAAAGAGGCAAAGATGAACCCGACTTCTCCATCTCTCCCAGTAACATTGAACAGATTCTCTCTCTCTGATATCATGTAACCTGCCCCCAACTTTTCTAATTAGCTAGAGATGTGACAGGCAGAAGCGTAATAAACCCTTGAACACACATACCAATGATGATTACCAAAGTGCTGGACATATCACTAACTCACTGAAGCGCATAAATGTTAATAATTATGGTAATGATAGACTTCCCGCCCCGCAACCCATTTTGCAAATTAAGTATTCAGTGTATGATTCTCAGATTTTACTAAGATGTTCTGTAATTTTGTGTTGAAATACATTCGATTGGCCCCACTTGTGTTCTCGTTCACTAAAATATGACAAAGATACCGAATTAAGCAGAGATGGATCACACACACCCTAGAATTTGCTCCGAACAAAACTACAATTTCGTTCTTGTTCCGCCGAATAAGTAAAGAAACGATAATAACCGATTATAATCGTGGCTGATTAATTATTTTAATTTATTGAAGTAGTTACTTAAGCTCGTAAACTAACTAATAGTGATACAAAGCAGGGAATGTTCACAGTAATCGACTAACT